GTTTAATTTTTTTAAATATAAATGCAAAACAAAGTTTGTTGCTTTTTCTGTTACAGACCTTAATTTGTCCTAAAATATTCTGACCAGATGACACACTTCAACTTCTATACCTGGTCCAATATCTAACACTGTCAACTGTTCTATTGGACTACAGTCAAAAACACTTTCCAGTGACAAAAACTATCATTGGCCTTGTCTGTTTAAAGGAAAATCAATCTGGTGCATGTCTATTCCAAAATGGCATACATTAAAATAATTTGATTCTTATTATCTTCACTGAGCCCACTTTATTATTTCAGTACATTAGAAATAAAAATACTACATCATACATACATCAAGTACATACAGTATAACTCGTCATGTTTATTTAACATTTCTGCAATATTTACATACTTATAACTTCCCACTGTGTCAATGACAACATGTGTGTTTCAGGTTTCCAACTCTTCCTCGACCTCTTCTCTTCATAGAGCTTGAGCAAAGAAGCAGTCATTAAAGAAGCTTAGAATTTCTTTGCAAGACAAGAATATGAGACTATTGTTGTCATCATGTGACATCAAGTGTGGTGGTACTTTCTCTTGTAATGCTTTCTCTTACACCCTTGTATTTACTTATTCCTTTTAAATATCTTAGCTTCTTAAAAATCCCCTGGTTCATTGATTCTAGTGGCCTTGTATCCACCCGTCTTCTGGTTCTTTAAATGTTATGTTGTCTGTCTTTTACTTGATTCTCTAATGACTGGATGTCATTGTAAATGACAGTTTCCCCTCAGTCATTTCTGGCGTATAAAGAAAGGTTGAATGAATTAATGAATATGATAAGTAAAATATGGTCCCATTTATTACATATTACCCTTTGGTGTTGTCTTTTGTTGTTGTAGTTGTTGTCGTTCAACTTATTTATCACAAGAATCTTCCAGAGAAGGATATTTGGATCTGAAAATACCTCAAATTGAGTTTTAACTTACAAGGTAACTTTGAAAGTATTGGTTCATAGATACGTTCTCTATTAGAATAAACATTTTAGAGCACTGACTAAAATCACATGAAGTATTAACTCGATAAACGTTTTTAGTATTTGCTCTACATGCACAGCTGTGTTGACAGTTTCTGACTGTGATTTACTTTCAGATACTTTGATGTAGAGGGAAATAAATACACACACACACACACACACACACACACACACACACACACACACACACACACAAAACACTGATTGATAAAGGAGAACACACTCAGCAGAACGACACAAGAGTTAGTCGTTCTGCTGTTGTTTTAACTTTCAGTGTGTGTTTTATTCTTTCCTTTATTGTAGTCTAAATAAACCTGTTGGGTTTCGTACAGTTTAAAAGGATCAGTTTTAATACTGCCAATTACAAGAATTCCTGTTCGAGTTACAGGCTATAATTATGGTTTCGTAATAGTATAGTAGGTAGGCGCGGGAATCAATGAATTGTGCAACCCCTTCAGCAGTTAAAAATTAAAAAAGCATATCTAAAATATCAAATTCAAAATATCAATACTTGGCTGCCATGAGACCATATAATCGCCACACAAAATATCGTAATACTATACTGTATCGATCTTTTACCCCATCTCTCATAGTAGGTAAAGTAATGCTATTGGAAAGGCTTTGAAGGGTTGTATATATTGGTTTAACAGTTGAATATCCAGTTTTTAATGAATGTGCACAGAGAACAAAGTTAACCAGAGTCAAATGTTTTGTATGTGCACACATACCTGGACAATAAAGCTGATTCTGAAGATCAAGGTCTCTGAGCAGAAAGAAGCTTATTACCACCATGTGACTGTCACACTTTTTTATTATTATATTGTACTATTCTGCAATCAGGGATGGAATTGCAAAGGTTTTGTTTTGGAAAGCCGTGAAACACAGAAGTAAAGCCAATTGGCTGAATTTCTATTTAATATAATTTTCCATACGAGTGACTGTTAAAAGATGGAAAGCTTCTTACTGACTGAAACAGATATGTATAAGGCTTTGAAGGGTTGTATATATTGGTTTAACAGTTGAATATCCAGTTTTTAATGAATGTGCACAGAGAACAAAGTTAACCAGAGTCAAATGTTTTGTATGTGCACACATACCTGGACAATAAAGCTGATTCTGAAGATCAAGGTCTCTGAGCAGAAAGAAGCTTATTACCACCATGTGACTGTCACACTTTTTTATTATTATATTGTACTATTCTGCAATCAGGGATGGAATTGCAAAGGTTTTGTTTTGGAAAGCCGTGAAACACAGAAGTAAAGCCAATTGGCTGAATTTCTATTTAATATAATTTTCCATACGAGTGACTGTTAAAAGATGGAAAGCTTCTTACTGACTGAAACAGATATGTATAAGGCTTTGAAGGGTTGTATATATTGGTTTAACAGTTGAATATCCAGTTTTTAATGAATGTGCACAGAGAACAAAGTTAACCAGAGTCAAATGTTTTGTATGTGCACACATACCTGGACAATAAAGCTGATTCTGAAGATCAAGGTCTCTGAGCAGAAAGAAGCTTATTACCACCATGTGACTGTCACACTTTTTTATTATTATATTGTACTATCCTGCAATCAGGGATGGAATTGCAAAGGTTTTGTTTTGGAAAGCCGTGAAACACAGAAGTAAAGCCAATTGGCTGAATTTCTATTTAATATAATTTTCCATACGAGTGACTGTTAAAAGATGGAAAGCTTCTTACTGACTGAAACAGATATGTATACTATCTGATTCAAATCTCCATTTGTTCCTTAAAGTGTGAGGTCACTTGAGTTGTTTTAGAAGCTTTTTACGAGTTCTCAGCATGTTTTGATCATCTTCATGTTGTGAATTTCCTTTATGTGAACAGCATGATTGTATCTTTCTTCCTGTCACGTCTTCCTGTTAGATGTTGTGGAACATGTTTTGAAATTCTGTGTGACGAATAGAGTAATGTTGCATTGCAAGTTATCGAGACAATTTTGGGACTTTCCACAACCAGCACTGCACATAGCATGGATAAACAACTGACTTGATTGTACTTGACTTTTAATTTGACTAACTGTTGACACTCACTCTGTTAACAGACCCCTAACTTTTATTTCTGTATATGTTTTTGCTCAAGACTTTTGCTCAAGAACATGTATCACCTGTACATTTCATACAGTTTTAGATGTCATTTAAACAAATTTATCCTGAGTGATGTTAAAGTGATTAAAGACAGCCCTCTTAAAAGCGTCTCTCTGTGATTAAAACTTTGACATGTTGATTTAGCTGCCCAACATTGCACAAATAATGTTTATATATTTCATGTAAAACTGTAGGTTAGAAGACATCATGAACGTTTCATTGAGTATTTCATGTTTGAGGATGTATTTCCTTTTTTTTCCATGATCTAGCTGTCAAGCATGTCTTTTTTCCCAAATCGTCAGCATGATCATTTCATTTTTCTGAGGTTACCAATACCAAAATTACAAGGTTGAATGTACTCTTCTTAAATTGTATCACTTAAAGGGGGCATATTATGATAATCCACTTGTAAAGTGTTTCTGAACATATATTTGGGTAACCTGAGTGTCTGCCAATCCACACAATGTGAAATAAATCCACCCAGTCCTTTGTTTGTGGTCTGCGTAAGTCTTACAACGCAGAGAAAAATGCTCTGTTTCAAATTTGCTCTTCTTGTGATGTCACAGTGGGATTCTGGTAAAAGCCTAGAACAAAACTTTTGAGCAGGTTGGCCATTTTTTATTCTCGCTAGCGAAGGAGTGATGTCTACTACGAAAACTCAGAGGGGGCTCATTGCATTTAAAGAGACACACACACACCAAAACGGAGCATGTAGACTTGTAGTTTAGGCTAACATTAACCCCAGGAGCATGTTAAAAACTGCTATGAAGCTTAATTCAGAAAATAGTTAGCTTAGCTTAGCATAAACACTGGAGGCAGGTTTGAAATAATTACTATGACTACCACCTATTTTATTAAACGTAAACTTTTTCCAGAGGATATATAATTTAAAAAAAATCATACTTGAGCTGCGTTTACAAGATAAAGGACTGTTGGATCCGGACATTATCCTCTCAAAGTAGTGTAGGGTTGTCACAGTTTTTTTGGTACAGGATGTGCAGCATTGTGTGCGAATGAGCCAGACAGTTACTTGTAATCATGACTAGCTGGACAGTAGCAGGCAGGGCCTTCTCACAACACCGAACAAGCACACACAACACACACATGCAGTGGAATACACACCCAGACATAATCAAATAGACACAGGGATTCAAGAGGGAGTGGGAGTGAGAGTGGCTGTTTGATTAGATTATGACTGAGGGCTGCTGGTGTCTTGTTAAAGGCACAGAACTCTTTATACCCAGACCTTTCTTAGTAGATGGACCACAGCTCTCTTGCGCCTTCAAAAGTCAATACCATGATTTGTTCTAACAGCATTAAAAACCCGCCATATCATTTCCTTTCTCAAGAAAACAATGGCCCTCACCTTCACAAACTATTCTTAGTTTAGTTTTCAAGAATATTATAACATTCACCAAAGTTTTTATCTGGGGTTTGGTAAAGAGAATAATCTACACACTCACATATGCACATCTGACTGCCAACTTGCCTGGAAAAAGCAATGTGTTGTGTTTTGTTCTTGAATTCAGCTGTTGGATGTGGTCAAGGGTTTTAAAATGTGTTTCACAGATTGATCAAACAGCTTGAAGTTAATATCAAGAAAGAAATGCATGAAAAACAAACTGATTTCTGAGCATAGCTTTGTTTTTTCAGTTTGCACGCAGTTCGCAGCTAGCTGGTAAATATAGTGTGTGTGTGTGTGTGTGTGTGTGTGTGTGTGTGTGTGTGTGTGTGTGTGTGTGTGTGTGTGTGGATAGATAAAATCAGAACTTATTCTCAATGATGCAATATTTATACTGACCTCTTGTTAAAATGTTTGGGTTTTTTTGCATATTTTCATACTTATGTTGACGATAAAACATCTTTCTATCCTTCAGGCTCGTGAGGCCAACATTGTTGGTGACCGGATAACAGCCGAGCGGAGCAGCAGGACATCCCGTACGCTTAACCACGTGGCCCTAGGAATCGGGATCGGGGTCTTCATCCTCAGCATTGTCTACTTAGTGGTGATGACATCAATGCTTAACAAATAAATCTGTTGGAACATCTTTTTTTTATTTGTTTTTGTTGTCCCATGCCCCTATATCAGTTAATCAGACCACATGAACAACATCACCAACCATCAGGTAGAAATTTAACTTGAAAACAATTGTAACCCTAAAGTCACCTGAAGATCCTTAACGTTAGACAGGAAGTGTTTTTCGACACTGGATAACCATTCACTACAAAGAATCTGAAGTTGCTCTTTATATGTAATACGTGATCCCATCAGCGTACTTTGAGGTTGTGAGTTTCTCAGTAATGACGAGTCATTTTGATTTGTAAAATAATTTCCAACTTTGTAGCTTTAAAACCTGAGTCTGGGTTCAACACACTCAACACCACCTGCAGGGATCAAGTGTTATCCAAAGAGTTTTATGTTTTGGCAAGTAGCAAATAATACAATCCAGTTTAAAATTTTCAGGGAAGTTCAGTTATTCATTTCTGCAACTGAAAGAGATTGTACAATGGTAGACATTTTCCTGCCCTTTAAAATAAATGTGTAAATATGCACTAACATCCCTTTACACTCTAAAAGTATAACAAGAAAAATACAAAGTATAAAAAGTAACAAATATACCCCCTAAGGGAGACTTAGCTGAGTTTAGTTGAAGAAGGAGAAATAGTCAGAGTGAGCCTGTTTGTCGTCAAAGTGTATCTTAATGCGAGTTGCACGCTTCAGCAATCCTCTTTTCACTGCAGCTGAATATAATCTGTCACTTTCTTTAAAGCCGCAGTCTGTTATCTATCACTGTTCCATGTAAGATCTGTGTTGACCATATCTGAAAACAACACGTTTTACTGCATATCAAATTTCTATATAAATAAACTTTATTAAGTGGTAAACAACACTTGAACTGTGTGGTCTTTTTAGATAGAGGTGAGTACTTTGAGATTTTTGGAGAACTTATAGTTGTGTGTTTGTACATATTTAATTAACTATGTTGATTTTAACAAAAGGACCTGGCTTATGTGGCATTACACAAAAAAAAAAAAAAAAAAAGATATTCTTTAAAAAAAATTGTTTTTCAAAAGTTTAATGTTTTCATCTATCCAGTCACTTTTTAAGGGCCAAAGTTGCAATCAAGTGATTAAATGACATCACATTTTACTTACTTTGTAAGCTTTAATGTATAATTATAATCTTTATAAGTTTGACCTGATTGGAGTGAACATACTTTGACTCCAGTTTTACATAAAAATACAAATCTACTATGTACAGTACTTTAGATATATAACAAATAATGTACTACTGTTTAATCTTGAAAACAAGTATTCCAGTTGTTCTCTTGAGATCTTGACTTCTCTTCATATGTCAAGATAACAAAGCTTGTTTTCTCGTGATAACAGGATAATTATCTGATGGTTTAGAAAACAAAACAGGGACACGCAGAAACTGTTTTCTTACAATGGGCACAGAGGCGCCTCCCCCTCCAAACATTACTACTACTACTTACCTACTTAAACATGTTAGACATTAATCAGACAAGACAAGACAATGCGTACATTGCGCCTGGTACGCACTATAGCACCTCAGCATTTATTCAAAATGGGTACTTCTTGGCTGAGGGGCAGAGACTAAACACAAGTGTTAAGTTCTTAAACTTTTGCAAAGCAGGGGACCTGGTCCTGAGGCTGCAGTGACCTTAAAGGGGACATATTATGAAAAATCCACTTTGATAGTGTTTTTGAACATATATTTGGTTAACCTAAGTGTCTACCAACCCACAAAATGTGAAATAAATCCATCCAGTCCTTTGTTTTTGATCTGCGTAAGTCTTAAAACACAGAGAAAAATGCTCCGTTTCAGATTTGCTCCACTTGTGATGTCACAGTGGGATTCTGGTCAAAAAAAAAAAAACATCCCCTTCCCCTCCCCTGATAACTCCACCCATGGACTCCACCCCCAGTCTAGAACAAAACTTTTACGCAGGTCGGCCATTTTTATTCTCACTACAGAGGAGTGATGTCTAACAGGAAAACTCAGGGGGGTCTCATTGCATTTAAACAGAGCATTCTGAGAGAGCTGGTTTATACAGGGTCACAAACCTCCTCTGGTGCTTGATTCATATTCATATTTTGACCAAAGCACAGCACAGATGTTTCATTTAGACCACAGGGGACTGTTTGAAAAGGTGGAGGAGGGGTATAATATTTCCTCTTCAACATTGGTTTGTCTCATATTTTTCAGACACTCCCATTTTCATTGGCACCTAATTGGTATTGTTCTAATCATGTTTTTTCCTCTAATGTGATTGGACAACTAATGCAGTCAGTCATGTTCATGGGTATTTTCCCAAAAACTTTATTAAAATATTGCCGTTAATATAAATACAGATACAAAACTGACACTCCTGCCCTTTAGCTTACTGAGTGACCAATGGCACATCTGTAGCGTTACAGACAGTAGAGATGTTATTGAAATTATTATCATCTCTTAACATGCAATCTTTCAGCTCAAGTGATACCAGATAAATCAGTGGGCATCACAAGAGAAAAAAAAAATAAAAAATTCTTATACAGAGTAAATAAAAGGCATGGATGCATATCTGCTTAGGGCTTCCGTACAAAGAAGACTTCAAAGGTGTCGAAATGAAATGTTCGGTGGAGAGGTGAAACTTCTTTTAAAATTTTCAGCTGAAGATGAAGCTAACTCTGAATGCTAGAGAAATATATTTTTTACAATATAATACAAAACAATTCATTTAATTAGTCATCGCAAAAGAAGCGATGCAGCTTCTGCGTCAGACTCAGCAGCAGAGTTTGGAGACAGAGTGTGGAGACACATCAGCTCTACTAAATGTTTGGAGCTCCGGGCTGCCATGAGAAATGTTTGGTCCCTACCCCAAACTCCAGCCCCACCCTCACTTCTTCCTTTGACACATTCTCTTTCATCACACTCATACCCTCCTCCCCCTCCTCCTTCTTTCTCTATCTTCCTCCCTCGTTCCTCATTCCTTCCTCCTCCACATGTTCATAATCTGTCCTCTGTTTCTTCTAAACTTCCTCATTCTTGGTAAGGACTTTAAAGCCTCTCTTCCCCACTCATCCGGTCTCTCTCTTTCTTTTTATTCTGCTTCTCTGACTTATTTTCTTCTTCTCCTTCTGCCTTCAACATCTACTTTTATCCTCCTCTTATTCTTATTGTTTGCTTGTAGTTTTAAGAGTCAAACCTACCTTTACAAATCCTGGAATGCATCTCACAAGAGTCCTTCAGCACAAACTCACATTATCACTCTTTTGTTTAACCTTAACCACCTTTACAGTCTGTGTCAGTCCTTCTTATTCATTCTCAATGCAACCACATGTTGCATTAGTCTTCAGTTGTGGAGATGACCTCTATCCCTCTCATCTCCATTATCTCTGGGTTTGGCTTTTACAGCTGGTCAGGATGTGAAAGTGACTCAGATTACTCTTGTTTGTTCACTCACAATTGATGTTCTTTCTGGAATTTCTGGAAAGGTTATGCAAGTACAGCGCCACTTACTAGTACAAGAAATACTGACATTTCTGAGGGAGATGCCAAATGAGCAACACATGTCAGCAGCCTTAGAAAACGCAAAAGAACAGTTCATTTAAAACAGATTGTGCCACCGAAATTATTGTTCAATTGTGTGCTTGTGCTGCCCCATAGCGGTCACAAAGTGGTACTGAACACAATAAAATACAAGACTTTTCGTTGTATTCTGAATTATTTTATCGAAATGATAAAAAATAAATATACATTGATCCTGAAAATATAACAGACAGAAAAGAACAACAAAAAGAACGGCCAGAAAAAGATGCTAATTGTATCCCTTCTCATCATGACATGAAGACTGCCAGTGGAACCTGAGAAAACACACACATGCACACATTTACACAATAATACATACATTATATCTGTTTCTGAATTGACTTTTACTTTATTTGACTTTATGAAACATTTGACACCTATGACCTAAAGCAGAACGTTGTAATAGGTAAATGATTATTATTGGCTCTTAAACTGTATAACCTTCAAATATACAGGTATCCTCCCCATCTGCCCCTCAACAACAAATCAAGAGTTTTTGTTTATATGCATATTCTGCACTTTATTGAACATAAGAAAAAAAGTACAATTTGCAAACCCTGAAGAAAATTAACTTCTGTTTTTTTTTTTAAACAGGCAAATAAATTAAGTCACTCTTTTAAAGATTCAGCACAAGAAGCCTGGCGTGTTTTCAATACTTCAAGCGACAACACAAGGACATCCTTCTTATTTGGAGTGTGAGATATGGTCATAAGTTCCATATTACGCCATCACACACAGATTTGTTTTAATGGAAACTTCTCTCATTAATGCTCCAAGAAAAGCACTGACATCACCCCTCAGAATAATTCATAGCTTGCAGAGAAAAAGTCAAAGCACTTAATTACTATAACTGGAACTTAATATCTCTGATCAGTATTTGAAGAAATACAGTTAGACCGAACGGATAATAGATACACTCATAAAGCTGCTATATTTGGATACAATTCACATTGAAGACTTGTAAATTGCTTCATCACATCTATGAGCTGATTATGTACGGAACATCCTAATGAGGATTTATGTGATCACTTGGACTGCACACATGAAGCATCACAAGACGCCAAAAACCATTACTGAAGGCAATAGTGAGTGAGAAAAGACTACATCATACATACATCAAGTACATACAGTATAACTAGTTATGTTTATTTAACATTTCTGCAATATTTACATACTTATAACTTCCCACTGTGTCAATGACAACATGTGTGTTTCAGGTTTCCAACTCTTCCTCGACCTCTTCTCTTCATAGAGCTTGAGCAAAGAAGCAGTCATTAAAGAAGCTTAGAATGCTTTGCAAGACAAGAATATGAGACTATTGTTGTCATCATGTGACATCAAGTGTGGTGGTACACGTCAACCGCTCTAGTTTATTGTCCTTTTGCTCCAAGCTGACAGTTTCTCACTTGTCTTGTATGCATTATGATATATATAAAAAAATCAAGAACCGTGTTGAAATGCATCTGCTACAGTTTGAAAAAAAGGCAAAGCACACATGAAAGAGAGGAACAGATGGGTAAAGACAAGACAGTTTTGTATTTCACTATTCTAAATGGATACAGACGTGCAGCCATAAGCATAATTTGTCCCAAAATGTAATCTCTAAAACAGGAAGAGAGGCTCCATAAATAGTGAAAAAAATATGAAACTGGATGTGCGAGGAGAGGGGGGGGAAGGAGGAAAGGTGGAGCAGAGGAGATCTTCTTAATAGGACCGGATGGCAGGAGGGACGTGGGCACAGTCCTGCTCGTCAAGGGAGTGGTCGATGACAGGGCGGTACTCCAGGGTCACCTGTGTTTAGACAAACATCATGTATTGTATTACTGACTCTAATAGCAGAACTCTAGGATTGAGCCTTAAGCACACAGAAAACACACTGCAGGAGAATGTACCTTTCCAGTCTTGGGGTCAACATAGGACATGGTGTGCTTCCTCCAGTGCTCATCGTAGGGCTTGGCCTCCTGACCCTGCAGGGGCTTTGAGTAGTCGTACTCATCCACACGATCCTGGAATATATTCAAGAAAAAAAGAGTCAGAGGAGAAACTGGCTGTGAGACAAAGTGCATGTTTGGTTGCTTTTTTAAGCAATTATATAAAGACACAAATAGAGAGAGATAGAGCGAGGATAAGAACATTTGAGAGCAAATGGCAGTAAAAGTTAATCTTGGGTAGGCAGAGAATAACGGAAAGAAATGTGAGGAGCAAAGGATACAACTACTGCAACAATAACCAACCACATTCATGTCAACAACTAAAGTAACTGACCTTGAAGTCCTCTCTGGCGTGGGCTCCTCTGCTCTCCTTCCTCTGCTCAGCAGAGTGGATGGTCTGGACGGCATTCAGCATCAGATTCTGCAGCTCCAGTGTTTCCACCAGGTCTGTGTTCCACACAATGCCTGCAGATGGAAAGCAGTACCGACACATTGCAAGTCACAGTTCAATACTATGGATCTGCAGAAAGCAGAGTGATCTGTCACGGGACATCAAACAGACATATAAAGTGGTATATAGTACCTCTGTCAAAGGTCTTAAGCTCTTCCATGGTCTGGTAAATAGCGTCCATCTTGTCACATCCCTCCTTCAGAACGGAGCCGGTACGGAACACAGCAGCATGAGCCTGCATGGTCTGTGAGACATAAATCAAGTTTGTTTATGGCGTGCCTTAGTAAACAAAGCACTTGATCTAAAAGATCAGGTACAGGCTATAAGTGCACAGTGTCACATATAATGAGACATTTGTATATTTTTGGATTATTTACAACACGTTTCCTCAAGTGTTTGACTGCATGCAGGTGTGACCTTACCTTCTGCATGTTGAGCCTGATCTCAGAGGTTCTCATGCTTCCGTTAGCAAACCTCAGCTTGTCCAGGTTGGCCACAGACTCCTCTCCTGCACTGGGCTTCAGAGGGGACAGAGTCTCTCCTGAGGAGAAAACACAACACCAGAATCATCAGTGAATCAGCAGGTAAAGCTTATAAGAATACTGTAACATTTAACAACCTTTTAATCCCGCCCTAACAAGAGGCGCTACATATCTTTAATTAGCACGACTCAGTATTTTCTTGACATCAGAACGGGCAATTGAAAAATGACAGGACATATAATATCTAAATAGCATGAAAAACTATTATTGATACTTATTTTTTTGCGTAATAAACGCTCCAGAGTAAAATAAATTCAATCAGAGCTTAAACTGTGTTGTGGCTAAGCTCACCAGGTTTGTTCTCCTCTGCGATGGTCAGGGCGCAGGCTCTGCCGAACACCACCAGGTCGAGCAGAGAGTTAGCACCCAGCCTGTTAGCACCGTGAACACTAGCACACGCTGCCTCACCACAGGCGTAGAGTCCGGGAACCACCTTGTCCTCTCCTTTGGTATGAGTGATCACCTGGTGGAGAAAATGTGTTGACACTTTAGGGGGGATATTCTTGACAGAGAATGACCTGCAACAGGCTGTGGATAAATATGACCTCACCTGTCCCTTGTAGTTTGTGGGTACTCCTCCCATGTTGTAATGGACAGTGGGCAGGACGGGGATGGGCTCTTTAGTGACGTCCACTCCAGCAAAGATCATGGCTGTCTCAGAGATACCAGGCAGTCTTGCTGCGAGCTGCTGGGGAGGCAGGTGGTGGAGCTGCAGGTACACGTGGTCCTTCTCTGGACCTACACCTCTGAGGGAATAAAGACAAAAACAGTTAGCTGCTGTTTCTTAATTTTCTTCCAGAGACAGTGTGTTTAAGTGTGTTTCATCACAAATATGTTTTCTTTACCTGCCCTCTCTGATCTCAATGGTCATGGAGCGGGACACCACGTCTCTGGAGGCCAGATCTTTGGCGTTTGGTGCGTAGCGCTCCATGAAACGTTCTCCCTCGCTGTTAATGAGGATACCTCCCTCACCACGGCAACCCTCTGTGATCAGACACCCGGCTCCATAGATACCTGTTAAAGAAAAAAGAGGTATGGGTTTAAAGGGACTTCATGCAAACACTATTCATTTTGACGTCAAACAGATGAGTTGCAGTTATCCAGTTCTAATCTTGAAGGTCTTTGCACACTGAGCCCATCTTTTTCCGAAATTGGCGCACGTTTAAAAAGAAATACGATCTTGTCGTGTCAATCATGTTTGAACACTGACTATGAAACTTTCGTCCCTCATGATTTTATTCAGCACAGGTTCCATTTTCTGCAGGTTTTTTTATTTACGTCTGTGCCTTCACTACCTCAAACATATTGCCCGCTTCTGTTCAGGATCAGTTTTTTGGCGGAAGTTGATGGTCTTCATATCAAACTGGACCACTGACATCCTAAAATTCACCTGGAATCAGGATAATTCTGCAGCTCCTCTATTAACAGGTGAAACTCTCCTTGCTCTTTTCTTGTATTCAGGAGAGGGTAGACACCGAGTTTTGTTTTTCTTTTTTTTTTAATGAGTGAAAAGCACACAAAATCATCTTCACTGCATAATGATTTTATGTTGATTTGACTGGGAACTTTTGCAGTAATAGAAAAATAAACGCATCAGACATGGTGTGCAAGGTTTACCTGCGTAACTTGGAAAAAAAATGCATCTGAAATAAACAGTGTGCAAAGACCTTAGTCCTTGGATTTTAGCCACACTTAAATGACTCAGTCTTTCATGGGCCACATTACTCCTCTGGGTTACTATGGTAACTTATCATTGAGATCTTGTCTCTTCTATAAAAAGGGTTTTGTAAGCCATTAGATCCAAATGTTGATAACTGGATAATAGGAATAAATGTATATTTCAATAATAAACTGTATGAAAAACAAAGTTATCTTCAAGATGAATGAACTTCAAAGTATTCCTGATGTGATCGATTTGAACCACTCTACCATCAATAAAGTCGAATGATATGGTCAACATAAAATCCACTCGGCTCTACGGTTAGGGCACCACGTAGTATCAATAGAAACTCCAGGCGAGTGTTTTATAAACTGAACTGTGATAAGGGGGTTTAGTTTTATACTCAAATTAAACTCTTGAATTTCCCCACTGAGGATCAATAAAGGATTATCTCAAATGTATGTACTGTTCATATTCATTCTATTTATTAGTCAGAAAAAGAAACAGTCTATGATTAAGATTATAATTAAGTTCCATTCATACAGAGCTTGCTGCGCTCACTGCAGGACATAAACACACATTCATAGAAGAAAGTGGAGAAAAAAGGATTTCTTTTCTTTTCTCTGTTTTTGGGATTATCTAGGTATACAGTGATTAATTTAAATTGATCTCTGAACCTTTTCAAAATGAATATTCAGCTATTATTTGCTGTTTTATGATGCGTTTATATTGATATTATGGGATCCCTTGAATACAGTATGTTAATGTTGGTTTTCTAGTGAGGATTGCTCTTTTGACTTATATCTGATGTGTTTTTTTATGTCCTAGAGGCCAGAAAAAAATGTTGCAGGCCTTCACCTGTGCACACCTTTGGTGACTCTCTTTGTCAGTGTGTCACTACACCCTAGACCTATGAATTAAAGGACTTTTATATTTTTCAAACCATCCTGTGTTTCTGGAACTGGATAATTTACTGTATACAATGTTTTTCTCCACTCCACTTTTATGAAGTATACCCTTTCATGTGCACCGGTGGTTTGAGGGATACCAGAAGCGCTCCTGTTGTCTCTCTTTAACACAATCAGAAGACTTAATGCTCTCATTGCCCACTGGTCAATGTTAAGAACTGTCACAATCATCTGGATAATGATGAAGGTATATAGAACTATTTTAGGCGCTTTAACAGAAGAGTAAACCTCATCATGGAACTTCATTTGTTTTTCAAGATTGTCTGCATTCAGGTAAACAGATCTTTTCAGAACACACATATCACTCTAGCTCAGCCTTTGGTGACCTCCCACAGCTCACATGATGCAGCTACTTCAAGTATAACTGTGGAGTCAGGTGTCAAATGTCTAGCAGGACCAAAACTAAGGACGACCACTTTATGCAACCGAGGTCTATTATTGGAGCATATTTTAAGAATTGGTCCTTTAAACTCTTGCACGAGTACAGTGTTTAAAAAAACACACAGAGCAGATCTAGAGAGTTAAGGGACTAACCAAACAGGAATACATAATAATTCATACCATTAGTCAATAAGTCATAATTGGTGCTCACATTGCTCAATAATTCTTAATTTTCCAGAAAGTATATGAACTTGATGAGAACATGGAACAACATTGACCACCAGATAAAAGAACAAAGACTATTTATACCATGTCTTATCGCGCCTTTTAAGACCAATAACAAAGTGGACTTTGAGTTGACAGTGATAGAAAATATATACCAGTACTATTTGATATTAAGTCTCAATGTCAACAAGTGTTTCAATAATGCATGAAGCTGCTGCAGAGAACTCAACCGCCTGTCTTTCTAAACAAGGTTCTCACATTTATTTTCTTACTCAGGTTTAATAAGTTTGTTTCTTTTCCTCACCAGTGGGATGGAACTGTACAAACTCCAAATCCTGGCAGGGCAGGCCAGCTCTGGTCACCATTGCATTTCCATCTCCTGTACTGGTGTGGGCAGATGTGCAGCTGAAATAGGTTCTTCCATAACCCCTGGAAGGAAAGTTTCAAGTAGTTAATTATCTTGGTTTCTCATGCAGACTTTATGAATTGTCCGTTAATCTTTCCAAATGTTACACTGTAGTTGTAAACTACTTTGGTTGTTCATGAAATTAAGTAAGTGTTGATTTCCTCTGAATTTGCAGGCAGTGAGCATGTAGCATACCCGGTTGCGATGACAGTGTTCTTGGCTCGGAAACGGTGAATAGATCCGTCCTCCATACAGAGAGCAATCACTCCTTTACATTCTCCATCCTCCATCAGCAAGTCCAGGGCAAAGTACTCCACAAAGTAACTGGTGTCATAACGTAGTGACTAAATCAACAGAAGAGGAGAGGGACACGTGTAACACTGTGTTGAATCTCTGGTTTCTCAGTTTGTCCATGGACTGATACAGAGAAGGAAGGAAAGTGTGTTCACTTACCCTTCCATAAAGTGTATGCAGCAGTGAGTGTCCAGTCCTGTCTGCTACACAACAGCAGCGATGAGCCTGGCCCCCTTTCCCATACTTGAGACTCTGCCCTCCAAAGGCCCTCTGGTAGATCTTGCCATCTTCAGTGCGGCTGAATGGCATGCCAAAATTCTCCAACTGGGAAAGAGGTACAGAAACATTAGGCTGAGGATTACAGTTGTCTCATACATTTAAGTACCGGTAATAAACCATAAGCTCTTTAAATGGTGTCACTATCTGTACAATGGAAAAGTTAGAATTTCAGCTTTTTTTGGTTCTTGGGATTTTTTTATTTAGCTTCAAGCAATAATACTGCAATTTATTCATGTGCAAAAGCACTTTAATTTTAATTCAACAAAATCCAAAATGTTGGACGAGTATATGAGTATGTGATAATTGCTTTTGAGCTAAAAATAACTAAAATAATGATTCTAATCGATCCATTATCTATACAGCTTTTTCCCCCATTCAGGATAGGAGGGCTGGAGCCAATCCCCCCGGACTGGTCGCCAGTCAATCATAGGTCATCATTCTAACCTTCAGAAATATTTCAGATTTGAAGCTTAAGCTCAATAGATAAATTGTGTAGCTTTTCCCCTATCTTTAGGTTGTATACTGTATTTGAGATGTGCTGAGGGTGCACCAGCGCTCAAAATCTTGTTTTTTTTACTCCTGTGACGCACGTCATTTGGATTAATTGGGCTGGATCTTGTGTGGAATGAAGAAATGAATACATGACTGATGTGTTCTGAAGCTTTAATTATCACTGGTGTTTCAGGAAGCTCTTTATTCAGATAGACTTTTTTGCAGCTAAACAATGAAATGACCTCAACTTTGGGGAATTAACAGGATATTATAACCAAAACATGGGGGTGTGCATTAAAGATATGGTCACAATTATAGAAACAGTCCCACCCTGCTTTAAGCTATAACTACATACAAGTAACCACTTAATGTAATGAACATTTGTCTCTACCAAAATTACCGTATGCCTAAAACAAATTAAATACCAGTCAAGGCAAACACCAATAATAATCAATAACCACAGTAACGGTCACCTCTACAACGGCTGCAGGAGCCTGCTCAGTCATGTAGTGGATAGCATCCTGGTCTCCAAGCCAATCAGATCCCTTCACTGTGTCGTAGAAATGCCACCTCCAGTCATCACCTTCCATGTTACCCAGAGCTGCATTGATCCCACCCTGTTACCCAGGTTAATATAAACAAAAGTATCATTAGAAAAAGCATTAATGTACAGTAAATTCAGTGCAAACAAAACTATGGACTTGTGTTAAAAAATGCCACTATGGGTTTAGAAAAATAACTTGAGGCTGGTAAAATGCAGTTGAGAAAAAAAGCCTCACTTCACAAGTGAATATGTTGTTATACCTGTGCAGCAACAGTGTGAGATCTGGTGGGGAAGAGCTTGGTGATGCAAGCAGTGTTGAATCCAGCCTCTGACAGGCCAAATGCTGCCCTAAGTCCGGCTCCTCCTGCTCCAACCACCACTGCATCAAACTCATGATCCACCACAGGGTACTGAGTTGAAATCTGAACAAAGCAAAAGAGTTTCCTGTAAAACTTACAATTACGTGTTTTAGGCAATTGTTAACATGAAATGTGAACGTTTGCTGATACTGTTCTGTATCCTATGGCGTACGCATTCCAGTAAAAAACAGACAAAATGCTGATCTACACATGAGAGCAGATAAAACTTCACTTACATTATCTGATACACTGGCACTTTTCTTCTTGCCATAGATGGAGAAATGAAAGTTCCTAGAGCCCTGGACAGCAGCTGCAGGGACCTGGCAAAAAGAGAAAACATTATATGATTGGAGAAATAAAACTAATTCAGCACCTTCCTCAAATCAGTAATATTGACTACAAAGAAGGCTGCTTACCTACAGTAAACACACTTTGTTTGTAGGCATACAATGCTTCGTTTAGTTATACATTAATAGCAGCTTATCTGTTGATTGATTTAAATTACAATTTAATAACACATCACAACAACGTAAAATTTAAATAACCGAGGTGCAAATATCAGAATTCACTCTGTGCTTTGTTATTCATTTGATTAAATATGATGATATTATAACAGTCTCCACAAATGTCAGCTCTTCACCCCACACCTCACAGACTAAATGGACAGCTGACCACCTCACAGTGCAATACAAGTGTGCAATATTAACCTTAAAAAACAAAAAACAGTGCAATAACCTCAGGTGCAATAAGAGATAATAAGTGCAATAAGAAAACATATTTATATTTTCATTTCATTGTACAGTGTTCCCCTTGTTATTTTTTTGTATTATATCTTTGCTTTAATACAGTGTATAACTTCTGTACAGTTTATTTTAAATAATTTTTAAATCTTATAATGATATTCTATTTTATATATAATTTTAACTTTTTATTTGTAGAAGCTGACTCAATTCCAATGTACCTGTACTGTCCTGTACCTGTGCAGATGGCAATAAACATCTATTCTATTCTCTGTAGCCTTGCACAGCTAACATGTAGCATGTTGACTGTTTTCCACAAGGACAACAGAGAAAACTGACATTAACAAGCCGGAAACCCCAACTGTGATCACATTTTTCTGAAAACATGACTCTATATTTAAAAAAACGACACAAACAGGGGTGGTATAGCTATATATTACATGGAGAAGTCACCAAATAGCTCGTCTTCATGGAGTCACATTGAAACACCCTGAGCTACATAACACAGCTTACGCAAGTCAGAGTCTACCGGTTACGAAAGCTGGACAAATCAGCAACTCACGTTAATCACACTCACAACAAAAGAGAACATGCAGACAATATGTATAATATACATAAAATGCAACTACGACAACTCACTGGTGTTGTTTTAGACAGGACCCTCTTGGAGAGGAGACGGGACGCAGCACGAACACTCGCCATGTTGTCAGTTTGAGGGACAGATTCTGGAAGACGGCAGAGGATCACGTTTACCAGCGCACCGGACCAAACCAACTCGCAAAAATGGGGGCGCCTTTTAAATAACACATTATAGTATTATTAGAAAAATATTTACTAGAGTGTTTTGTATGGTAAATTCTGCTTTGATAAAACAGTAATTCCACAAATAAATCACCAATGATTACATTTTTTTGTCTTTTTGAGTATTTTATATAAGACTATTTCTATCAACTACCCTTCGTCGGCATTGGATTGACTGCTAGAGCGTAATAAATTGTGTAAGCTGGGTGTGCAGGAACAAATGTATAAGTGACCTAGACTTTTCATTCAAGGTGAGACACAGCACCATATATTTAACAAATATACAACGGCTTGTAGTCGGACCAATGCAGCTATTCTTTCCCGTTTCATGTTTGTATAAAATACTGTAGCGAGCATACGCCATGAAGCAAAGATGTTAGCTAGCATGTTAGCTCATAGCTAACAGTGTTTGTGGTTAGCTTGACTGTCAAACTTCCCAAGCCATGTCTGACTGGTGTTTTGCCTGATACAGTGACTTGATAAATGCTTTCCAATTGCACACAGAAATTAATAATAATAACACTTTATCATTGGGTAATGTACAACATATGTGCACACACTTTCAAAAACGAGTTTTAAGTATCCTAGTTTATTAATGATCAGCTGTTCAGCCATTTGTTATTGTTGCAAAGTACATTGGGTCCTAGGACAGCCATTGTGTTATGAGGCAACACAGGCTTTGACTTATCTACTTCTATCTATAGCCCCTATAGCTGTCTGTAATGTTTAGACTTTTGTTTGCTGCAGTGAGTGTTTACAGATTTGTTTTGATTCATGTGTTTTACAGCAGCCTCTATGAACAACTTGAATGACCCCCCCAGATGGAATATCCAACCAGACCCCAGGGGAAGGGGGGCGGGGGGCGGGGATGGGAACCAATGGAACTACGCCCTTCTGGTCCCCATGCTCGGACTGGCCGCATTTCGTAAGTTACACAAGGAGACGTGAGAGTGTTTGTAGATGAGGTAACAGAGTACACCTGCACGGGGTTTTTAACTTGTATAATATAGACAAGGACATCTTACAAGCTGTAAATGTTGAGTTTTTAAAAATGCACATGTTTACTGATGCAGTCATATTTCATTTGACATTTTTTTCTGATTTGCAAATGTATACATAATCCTTTTTCCAGGACTTTCTCTATTTGCAAGAATGCAAAACAAGATTGGAAGAAAATTATTTTATATCATACCCTAAAACAAACCAAGACTTTGATTCTATTTCATGTGCTGTATGTCCAATAATATTAAATACTTCTTTAATTTTCAAAGCATTTACCCTGCAAAGAAAATAAAAAATAGTGTTTTAAGTAATAGTGATGGGAAAAGCAGTTCTTTTCAGTGTACTGAATCAGTAGAATCAGTTCAGTGATTCGTTCAAAAGATTCATTCACCGAATCGTTCAGTACTTCTCTGCAGCTCTGTCTGTGAATCAGAATTTAATAAGCTGAAACACGGCCGAACGTTTAGTTCTGCTCGCGATCATACTGAGAACAGCCGGTGCTGAATAATAAGCCAATGAGCTGAGAATTTAGTTGGATAAAGCTACAGTTTGCAAACTGAAAGATGCTAAAACAATCACATTTATTTTCCCCGACCGTTCTGTTCAGTACGTTCAGTACACAAATCACTCACTGACTGACTGAGAGGAAGAGAGTGTCTTGGAGGCGGAGCTCCCGTTCAGTGATTCATGTCGGAGCTCAGCCTCTGAGTCTCTCTCTTCCTCTCAGTTCGTTCAGTGAACGAAACACTGACTGAACGTGAACGAGCGAGACTGCGAGTCACCAGCCTCAGTCACACACACACACTGTCCTGACTGAAACACGATCGTTAGTAGATGTTAAAACAGTCAGCTGAGTGAAATTGAGTTGGATATAAAAGCCGTTTGTAAACTGACAGCAGCTATAAAAAGCACATACATTTTCGCAACACCTAAATGTTAAATAATATATTTGCTACTTCCTCAATTTTGGAGACATGAGAGGGAGAAGTAGGGGCGGGCTTTAGTGACACAGAGCTCCCGACCAACTCCGTCCTGTTGGTTCAGTCAGTACGTATCACTGACATGAGAGGAGAGGGAGGGCGGGCTTTGAGTGACTCTTACGGGCTAGAGAGAGACACGAGACGGGAGAGAGGAGAGCGCAACTGAAGTTGAGAAATGAACGACTCTTTTCAGTAAGTGATTCAGTTCAGTTCGTTCACCCAGATGATTCGTTCGTTTTGAACGAATCGTTCACGAACTACACATCACTATTAAGTAAATCAAAGTGAAGATTATAAATGTAATTCATCCCGTGTCTTGCCTCCCACTCTGATCTCAGGCTGGATCTGGACAAAGGAATCTCAGAGGGAGATCCAAAAGGTGAAAGCTCAGTATGATAAGGATGTGTCTACAATAAAAACCAAGATGGAGGATCAGTACCGTGAGACGCTGACAGAAAGGCGCAGGGCAGCAGCTGTGCTAGAGTTGGAGCTGGAGAAGGAGAGACAGAGGGTGAAAGGTTACAAGCAGGCACTTGTCTCACAGAGCCAGAACCTGATGGAGGAACGGAAACAGTTACAGAAGGTAACATTTCCCCTCTCCTCTACTGTTATTGTGCACTACTCCAGTTGTTGTTTATCATACCTCAAAACACTGTCTTCTCCCTTACAAGGACCGTGAGGCTTTAGAAGAAGAGAAACAAAAGACTGTAAAGTCTGGAGCTGCAGGGGCTTTGCTGCACCAAGCCCTGGAGCGAGAGAACAACTGGTACCACCGAGCCTCAGCCACTCTGAAAGAACTGGAGGCTCAGCTTTTGGAGCGCCAGAACGCCTACTGCTCCCTGATACAACCTCGAGATCAACGGCTGGAGATGGAGAAAAACATGCTGCTAAAGGCCATCAAAGACCCCCTAAGTTCAGAACTGGATCTAGAGTCTGATCTGAAGGACATTTTTAAGCGAGATAAGCACTGTGCGGACCTTTTAAACATGGACAAGAGGAAGAACGGAAGCCTGATGTGGGTTTACCTCAAATACTGGCAGCTGCAGGTCACTGTCAAGAAACACAAGAGAGCTGAAGAAGCTTTATTAGGAGGGAACATACAGTCTCATGCAAAGTAACTAAAAAGACAAATACAAGCTTTAGTTTTTCATTTGACTTTTAAGAATGTGGGTTGGGAATGGAAATGCATGTATTGTTCACTCTTCAGTATCTTTACTCGACAGGGATGTTATTAAGACACGAAACAGGGAATCAGGGAACAGCCCAGCATCTGAAAGTCCCTCCCTATATCACATAGTTTTGAAAAGTAGGGATATTTCAAGCACACTGAAATATATACTTCCATGAACTCAGGATCCCCTCTACCAATAAGACCCGTTTACTGTCAATGAGCTGTTTGAAACGTATGAATGAATGCATTAGGATCATCCAGATGATATCCAAGTGAGGTTTCAACTTGAACTAAACTACATAGAGATCCAATTTTTTCCCATAAAGCCCCTTGGAAATGTTGTTGGAAAATGTGTGTCAATTTAACTCCCACCCCCTTAGTGAATTGAATTACAGAAAGCTGCATATGTTGTATGCCTACACCTTGGGTATGAATTTAGGTGCTTCAATAACGGATCTGATTGTGATGCGATAACACCCACTCATCATCTTGAGGAAACAAAATCCTTCTCATCATAAACGCTACTATGAGAGAAAACAGCCAGGAATTGTAAACACTTTTTTCAGGAATATATTAAGGGAAAAGTCATTGAAGTCTGTCCGTTGAGTATTCTGACCGTGTTTATTATGATCAGTTGTTGAGTATCATGATGTCTGTGGGGCATTATCTGTTTTTATCAGCACATTTGTCCATTACTTTCCCTCATCTACAATATCTGTCTCTACTCTCTCTGTACAATTTATGAGTCTAAGGATTCTGTTCATGATCTCCGATTTTACATTTTAAGTCTTTGTTCAAGTGTGTTAGGGCTGTTAAACTACCAGGGAAACACGACTCTGTGGGTGCATGTGAGGGGACTATAAGTGCTGAAATTGTACCACAATTAACAACACAAAATGGCCAGACAGTGTCAGTCCATCTTCATTTGTATAGTGCCAATTCATAACAACTGTTATCTGCAGACACAAAGCAGAGCAGTGTAGACTGTACTATTTGTTGTTGTTTGTACTTACAGGGACTCACATTAACCCACGGTGAGCACAGCACTTAGCAACATGCAGCAAAAAAACAAACGTCTCTACCCTTTTACTTCCTGCTTCACTCCTGCAATAAAAAGGATCAACTAAAGCTGTAGCATCTGCATAAGGTAACCAGGCTGTTAGGTTTTTGATTTGATCATAACTTGGTCAATAAATGCTGAAATAGAATACTGACATGTGCTGACACTAACCACTTGGTAAAATCCTCTCAATAAATATTTGGTGAAAGACTTGATTTCCAGGCTGTGTTTTTACTCTTCTTTGAATCTCTTCTGTTTTAACCAACAAGTTCATTCATTGATAATCCTTCAGTGATGTTGTTTTCCACATGTAGGAGCAGCCACTGAATTTATGATCTTGAATTGTGCACACAAATATACCAGCTATGTGGAAGCTTTTACTGTAACATAGGAATACTCAGAAACAATTGATGCTATTCATTATAGTAGTACGATAAACTACAGTGGATGGATGTAAGTCAAAAGAGGAAGCTAGGAAAAGTTTCTGGACAGTTTCGTGAAGCCTCAAAAATCAGTGATCAATGAACTTGATTTTTCTACAATTTTAAGAGTTTGTAACAGAATGTGTTCATGCAGTTTTCCTTTTTAAAAAAAAAATAAGTTATACCTTTTAAAAATACAGCATAGTTTCAACTTTAATGAGATAGTGATTTCGTAAAAGGTTTAAGAGAAAAAAGAAACATAAGTCAATAACCCAAGAGATTATTTTCTTCATATCAGTGTTTTGTTTATTTGAAAGTGAAAAGATGAAGTCACTGAGTAGAGTAGAGTAGTTTGTAATACATAAAAACAATATGCATTATGTAAATCAACTGGAAACAATTTTTCCCATAAAGCAATGTTGAAGATGGCTTGTACAACCAGCATGTAAATCAAACCAACAAAGGCTTTGTCATATTTTCAGCTCATATCCCCTCTCCTCGCTTCACACCCTCCTCTGTGCACGCTCAGAAGTTTCCCTCGGTGAGGACATCAGGCTCGAGGCTCTGAAGTTCACCCTCCGTGACTTGCTGGGATCTGGGCTTGTGGCAGCCTCTTCCTGTTTATCCTCCTTCCCCAGTATGAAGGCATGTTGTTCTGAGCTGCCTGAGGTGCTTGATCCTCTGCTGGTGTTGAAGAGGGGGAGCTGGTGCTTTGTCACGGCTCCGCTGTCGCTGCCCAGCCTCAGAGTCTGGCTCGGACTCCTCTGCACCATGAAGTGGACCACCTGTTGCTGCTTGTAGCTCTCTCTGTGAATGCTGTTGCTCTCTGACAGTTTCAGCCTGGAACACATTACACACTGGATAAATTACCTTTAATCCCCTCTAAGTCGTAGAGTGGTGCTGGGATCCTTATATCTGTTTCAGAAGTATTTTAAAATGGCCATCAACTTGAGGATAGAGTCTTAACTTCTGCCTCACTTCTCTCAGTACACAAGAAAAAATACCTGCAATGACATCACTGATCAGTATAAGGTCATGTAGTGCAACTTGTCCCAAACAAGTTTATACCTTGCTGTATGTGAATCGCTGAGGTTTCTCCCACTAATATTACAGCATGTCAATGTCATGTTTTTACAGTAAATATATAACAAGAACATGCTGCTTTGTTCTTTTCTTGCTATACTGCTGCTTTTTTCTGCACCTACCTGTGTAGTATGGCATACATATTAAAATATTTTACTGTGTTTCACTAACATAATGCAAGAAGTAAGTAGTCCACATGTCGTGGGGAATGATAAAACTTTTTAAAAAAAATTTTTCTTAAAGAACAATTTCAATGGGGTGCTGGTGGCGCAGTGGTTAGTGTGTGCACCCCATGTATGGAGGCTGTAGTCTTCCAAGCAGGTGGCCCAGGTTCAAATCCTGCCTGTGGCTCCTTTCCCACATGTCATTCCTGATTTCCAACTCTACTGTCCTATCTCTACATTAAAGCCCAAAAATAAATCTTTAGAAAGAAGAATTTCAAGTGAGGATCAACCTACTTGTATTGTGGTCTTGTTTCAAGGACCAGGCTGAGCCAGCATGCTTCATAGCTCTCCTTCTTCCACTGGTTGTCCTCTTGAAGATCACAATAAGAGTTGACCAGGTAGCAGCCTCCTCTGCTCACACAGTTCATGGTGTAAGTGTGTAAAGAATGATAATTTCAATCCAAACCCAAAATCCTTAAAGAAGAAAAAACCTTATAAAACTGAAGGGAAACGGACACAAAGAATCATCAAATCCTGTGTACCAAGTAGTCTGAGAGGTGAGTCTTAAATTGTGAGTCTTAAATAGCCAGCCTTGTTTCTATTTTTACTCCTCTGCATCCCTTTGCTGTGAATGTTGTGAATGTCATCACTCCAGGCATCCTGAAGGTTGGTTTCATTTGAAAATGAGCTTGCGTTTTTTTTTTTCCATGACATGAGATATGGACCCAGATGAAAGTGAAATCTGACCCCTCACTTATTTCATTTATTCAACCTACATGTGTTATACTGGAGTCTCTCAAGATACAAAGTGAAGCCACCAGTTATTTGAGTCACATTTGCAACATTGAGTGTTTCACATGACACTCTGAGTAGGATTTGATTGTGAGCATGTCTGTATACGCACCCACACTATAGCTGCCTGTGTGTTGGTCGTTATTAAATGACGAATCTGTCTGAATGACGTTGATATGGAGTTCACCAAAGATAAAAAATCATCCCCACTCCTCAGATGTCTCTCACTTAGACTGTGTGTCATGGGAGGGAAACAGCTGAACGAAATTCATATCACTTCATAATCCAACTCATTCATCCCAAACTGCAATAGTATCATGTTAAGAATGAAAAGATGATGTTTGTGACTGATTTTTTTTTTTTTAGAAAAGAGGAAGAAATAAATCCCACATCTGCTCAGACATTGAGGGTCAAACTGGTTCAGAGGGTGTGTGTGATGATGTGACTGAGGCAGTGGAAGATATGCTGGACTCAATGCCAGCAGAACCAGTCTAATCCAGAAACACAAGAGCCAGTAAACATGACCCCAGTTTGATGATAAGTCCTGATTAATAGACATTGCTTTGAAAACATTTGTAAAAATGTGTCCTCTCTTTTGAGTGTTGAAGCAGAAATGTGTCAGACATCATGAGAAGACAATTTTACAGGACAGTCATTAACAAAGGATTTAAATCATGAAAATGACTGGATGATCAGTTACAGGGTTTACATTCACTCCCATGTGTTTTATTCATATCTGACTATAGTGTGTTAAGTAATTATCTAACAGACAGTCTGTTTTTTTTTTTGACTCAGTTGTCATGCATTTCAGGTATCAGACCAAAACGGGTTAAATTAGAGGTTGATAAAAGTTGAGTCATCGATAACAGGAGGGGAGGAGGATGCTAACACCTGTTACCTTCCCTATAATGCAGATGTACAGTACATCAAAAACTATTTTTTTTTTACCCTATCATGGAAGAGCAGGGGTTGCCCTTCAACCAAAAAATCCTTCAGAGTTGAATAAAATAAATATGAATTTAACAAACACATTCATTGTGTTAACAAAGCATAGACACATAAGAGCATACTGTCAAATAATACATTTATTGTCAAACACTTAAATCACAGTAAATATAACTTGGCTACATTTGAGAAAAGGACAAAAATTAATCTATGATGTCTGACAACTACAACTTCAGTGACTTTTGTTGTGTGAGCCATAAATCTTTATGATGATAAATCACATTGTGTACACAGAGAGAAGTGAAGAAATGTGTCACACATAGTGTTACATGTTAGCATCAGTAGCTGAACCATGCAGGCCTCTTCCTGGACCTCTCTACAATCCTCTTGTCTTTGTCCTGCTGGCTTGGCGTCTCGCCCTCATACAGGACGACAGTCTCCACACTGGGGGCCCCATGCGGGCTACCTTCCATCGCTTTCATCTGCTGACGAATCAGAGCGGTCTCCCTGCACACCTTCGCATAACAGAAGCCGCACATGATGTGCTTCTGCTTCATGTGGCCACATTCTGGACACGGCTCGATGTTAGTCTGAGAGAGGAGACAGAGACTGTGAGTCGGACAATGGAACAGAAACACTGTCTCTATACCTCTTACGACACATCATCTTTCACTGGTGGTGAATAATCTTTACAACTTGTATAAGAGCAGAAACCTGACTTAAGAGCTGTGTCTGCTGAATATTTAAAATGTAAACTTTTGATTTCCAAAATGCCACTGAGCTTAAATGTCCTACGGTGAGTTACAGATGGTGTCTGCGACCCTTTACAAATCCTTTATATTCAGTCAACACAGATAGGTAACATCTCTTATGGCATTGTTGTGGGAATAATGAGCCTTCTTCTCCGCTGGTCGTCTTAATCACTGTACCTTGACTTTTAGGAGCTTTTCTTCAGCTCTCCTCCTGGTGCGGTTGATTTCTATAGTGCGTCTCTTCTTGGGTGCTGCCATCCACAGGATGCTGTCCAAAAGACCAGGGGGCTGCTCCTGACTCTCCTCCAGGTCCTCCTCCCTGTCGGGCTGAGGAAGGAGGCTGGGGCCAGTCACTGCCAGCGCTGGAGCTGCAAACAGGGACAAAAAGTTACCAATGTGTAGAAGCTTAGACAGCTAAGACAGCCAACGAGCAGGGACTTCAGAAAAAGGTCAAACAACAAAGATACACCGTATTATAGCCCACTATCCTTGTATGTTTATGTCAGGGACAGAGCTTGTCACAAAGATTAGCGTCCCTGAGCTCCAGTCATTAAACTCACCCAGCTGTCTGTCCAGTAGCACCACCTGCAGCAGTCTGCTTTCAATATGTAGTAAAGAGGACCTGAGACTGTGGACTAAAGCCGATAAATTCATCATTCTTACTATCAGCACGCTGACTCTCTTTCCAACATGCCAAACAGCTCACGGTCACACAGTAACAGTACGTCACTAAAAAGCGACAGTAGTTTTTTCTTCTTCTGTTTCATTTCATCCAGGAATGACAGCTTTTGGCGTGTTACTACCACCTACCGGTCAACTCTTCAAACTGCACTTCAACATTCACAGAGTCATTCAAAAAGGATGGTGCAGTGGCCTCGAGGATAATTCTTAAAACCAACCTAAGTTTTTACCTCTATGCATTCTCGTACTTTTTCACGATAGTTAAAAAACCCCAGTTATTATCTAATAATTTCAAGTGCTTTTGAATTAGTTTAAAAAAAGTAAACTGTGACATTAGTTAGGAACAAATTCATTTCATTAAATGCATCGTTTGAAT